CTATAATAGGCATCTGATGAAGGATGCAGTGTATAAGGGTCAAAATGTTGTGACTATAACAACCAAGATATCTAATAAAAAAGCAGTTAATGCTTGTTTTATCTTATGTGTAAATTCATGGTTCACACCAGCATGCTCAGCTGTTATAGCCCACAGGAATCACTATTTTTGGTGATACCAGTGTGAAAGCTCTCGTTACAACAGATGCCTATTTGTTGCTGCTCATAATAAATGTAAATACGTCCTTGAAAGAGCTGTCCCTGTTTCCAGAGAGAATGAGGTACCACATTGCATCTAACAACTTTGGCTTTCGGGTTTACTGGTGGCTGTGTAATGGTGTATTAGATAAGTGTAATGTCTTGATTCCTCCCCTTTTCAATCAATGGTGTTAACATCCTCTGCTGATAAAGGTGAATGCTTTGCCTGTAAATTCTTCTCAGGCTCTACTCTTGACTCATCTGGAGTATTCCTGCCAAACTTCCCACTTAGAACTGAGTCTCTGTTGAGTGATACGCACATAACCCCTTCTATGGTTTCTGCTATAATCTTTAACCTAGATCCCCATAAAGCACTTGGACCTGGTGGTATCCCTGTAATAGTCATTAAGAAGTGTGCTCCTGAACTAGCTCCTGTTCTCTCTAAACTGTATAATGAATGCCTTGTTGCCTCCTGCTTTCCAGCCTGCTGGAAATCATCCTCTCTTGTTCCAGTTTTTTTAAGAATTCTGGTGAACTGTCCGACCCTTTTAAGTATTGGCCTATTAGCCTTCTACTGCATTTTGGAATATGCTAAGAGAGGCCCTAATCAATGTCAAATCATTGCAGGGCCTTTTCTCAGACAAGCAATATGGCTTTTGTTTCTCCAGGTCAACCACTGATGTACTGACGAGAATTGCAGAAAGAGTCTATCCTGCTCTGGATAAAAACAGTGAAACCCAATCTTTAGCTTTGGACATTTCAAAAGCTTTTGACAGAGTTTGGTATACGGGTCTTCTCCACAAGCTGAAAAGTTACAGTGTTGCCAGACAAATTTTTGAATTGATTCAATCTTTCATATCAAATTGTAAAAATGAAAATTATTCTGAACAGCCACTCGTCTAGATCCTTTAGTACTAATGAGTGTGTCCCCACCCCCAGGCCTTTATACTTGGTCCTACTTTGTTTTTAATTTTCATTAATGACCTTCTCGATGACATCAGCTTTTGACTTGGTAGCTTTGCTGATAACAACCATTTACTCCTGTCTTGATTTTAAGTCTGATCAGTCCGATAAAGTGAAAATGGTATAAGAAATTTAAGCTGCTTGAGTGTGTATCATCTGTTTTTTCTGAGAGAAAGCAAATGTTGTGTTGGACACTTGCTTAATTTTTGAATTTCAAAAATATTTTTGGTACATTGTGATTTGTGGGAAACCAGCTGCATTTGTTTTTCATCCAGAACCAATCAAAAGGTTTCCCTCCAAATTCTGAGAAGTGAATTCGGAGCCAATTTGTATAAAAGGGGGGCTTTGGATTTAATTGAAAAAGTCAAGAACATCTGCTGCTGGAACCCAGGTTGCTCTGGTACAGAAAGAAAAACAAAACAGAAGAAACATGACTACAACCAGAGGAGATTTAAAAGGAACATCAAAGTCACTTCCACATCAAGGAAAATTCTTCAGCTAGTGTGATTGTTCTATTCTTTGCTGTTACCACAAACATAGCTTCGAAAATGGTACCAATTCATTGAAAACTATTTGTTATGGGAACTACCTTTATGGACTAAATAGACACGTCCTATTACTATATATACGGGGAGATTATGCCTCTCAAGAGAGCTGTCTACAGTTGACCAGCTAAACAGTTGAACTCTCTGCCTTTGGGTGGAGCGTAACCCGGACAAGGCTTTGCCGAAGGGCAGAGTCTTGTTCGGGGAGGTTGACTGCCCCTGAACCTGTTTATGCGGGTTCAAAGAGGGATTATTTTTGGCCGAGCCTACGGGCTCGGAGATCCCATGTTAAACCGGCCTTGTGCCACATGTAACCCTCGTGGGGGGGGGGGTAACTAAATATCGCTGTCTACAGTTGACCTGTTACAGCCAAACAGTCGAACTCTCTGCCTTCAGGAGGAGAGGAACCCGGCTCCGCCGAAGGGCCGAGTCTCATTTGGGGAGGTTGTCTGCCCCATAACCTGTTTATGCGGGTTCAAAGAGGGATTATTTTTGGCAAAGACTACGGGCTCAGAGATCCCACGTTAAACTGGCCTTGTGCCACATGTAACCCTCGTGGGGGGGGGTAACTAAATATCGCTGTCTACAGTTGACTACTGTATTTTGCTGTAAGTCGGACATGCAACCTTTTTGTATTTGTTCTTTTTGTTTAATAATATGTTTTCACTAAACTGCTTAGTTCGAGTTTTCTTTTGAACCTATTCTGGGTCCACAATACTATTGAAAAAAGTATTTACTCCTTTTTTACATTTTATATGTAGTTTTCTTTTCTGAGGACCTTATGCAACATTATAATTTTTATTATAAAAGGGCATATTTCATTTACATAGATAATTTAAATACATGTTATTTACAGGCCTTCAATTGGCACAAGTGTACTTAATGTGTGTAATTCATTCATTATTTTGTGTTAAGAATAAATTTATCATTTGTTCTTAAATTCAGCTCATGTTGTCTTTTTTTTTGTTGCTTGTCTGTTTAAGTTAAATTACTTTTTTTAACTACTTTTTTGTAGGATTTTTTTAACAAATAAAAAATTCCTTTAATGGCAGCTGATATTCAAAATGACCTGAAATCTTTTGTTAATTGGGGCAAAAGATGGCTTATTAATTTTAATGCCTCCAAAACTAAACTTTTCTCCATTAATCATCTGAGAGACCCCTTTCTGTCTTCCACCAGCATGTTTGATGCTAATCTCCAAGAAAGTGACTTGTAGCACTTTCTTGGGCTAACATTCTCAGCTGACATGAAATTTGGTCAGGTACTCCTTGATAAAATCTAAAGAAGAAATAGCAATATTATCGGTTCTGATCTGAGGGCTCAGGTTCAGTCATTTTCCCACTGCTGTAAGGTTGCTTCCTTGTGTCTTTTCTATAAATATTTTCATGGTAATTGTTGGATGAGCTCTTTGCTATGGTACCTAAACTTTTTAAATTTAAGTGAACTAGACTGACGCTGAGATCTCATCTATTTATAGTTGAATTGATTAGATGTAACCATAAATTCTATGCTAACAATTGCTTTTCTTGCTTGTATGAAAAATATAGGTTACCTCCCCTTCGTTGATAAGGTCCTTAATAGGGAGAAATGAGTCCATTTATCAGGTAATAATAAGACCCAAATTTAGGTGCCAGATGGGTTTGAGGCAGTCAAGGTGAGAGGTCTGAAGACCACCGAAGTGAAAAGACACGTTTTAGCCTGCTCCAAAGGAAAGGCGATGCTGGCCACGAGCAAAACTGAATAGGTATGTTAATACCTTGACAAGCAGACATTGGAAGAGATATGACAAACTTCAGATAAGTGTTTCTATCCATTTTAAACAGATTCATGTATTAGACTTTGTTCCTGCTGAACTGACATTAACTCCAAAAGAAATATTGTTTAACAATTCTCTCTTGTATTTGTATTGTTGGGGATGTGCAGAATTTATTAATTATGCTTGAAAGAATCAGAAGGAATTTGTATAGGTTGCGTGACTTTCTGCATCCACAACAAATAAGTAAATGAAATTTAAAATACGATTAAGAACGAGACATATTCAATTAGAAATTAATATAACATTTATATACAATTCAAAAACAATATACAAACAGGATAATTGATATATGTTATGTTGGCGAAATGTGTATGAGGTTTTTTGATTTCAGAATGTCTCTCTTTGTAATTGTTTGTTCATTTACAGTCTTTTTAAGTTTGTGTTGATATTAATAATTGTCGATATTAAGTGTCTTTTTTAGAAGGAGTTTTTAAGAGCGATCTACCTTTAACTGTAATGTAATGTTTTTTTAAGGTCGTTCGTACATTGATGTTTACTTAATAGGTAGCGAATATAATTCACTTTAGATAAGCAATGTTGAGAATTGTATCCACAGAGTTGATTAAGTTTTCGATAGGGAATGAGTCAGCGATGATTTATCTTTGCGCTGTAAAATCGTGATTTAGAGTGACGTGGAGTATTTTGGCAAGTTCTCTGTGGGTGTTTGTTACTGACTGCCTGGGGCGGTCAGCGTTTATTTTTATAAGGCTTGAAAGTCGAAGGTGGCTCACTTGAGTTTTGGCGCAATTTCGTTCTGCACGTGAAATTTCAGTGATGAACCAATGAGATTGGTTGTTTCGCTTAGTGCAGTTTTAATTGGTTGAAGTTTTCCGTACGTAGGCGTAAGATATAGACTGTTCTGTTGCTAGGGTTGAAAGGTAAGGAAAAAAGGACGAGTCTACAGTATAAATGTACTATTTATATAAAAAGAATGTCTTTAAACTTTCCATTTGCCTTGTTCTTCATTCCTCTTTTTATGACTCATATGGAGAGTCGCTAATTTTCCCATACTTGTGAAACTCCTTTCCAAATTCATGCTTTCTAACCGACTTTAATCTCCAGAACTCAAAATTTAGATGCAATGTCAATTGCTATATATCCACTGTCCTCCTGATTCTTTTCTTTTCCCTTTCATTAGTAATGCTTTTGTGTTTGTTCCTAATTCTTCCACACCCAGTAAACCCCCTTGTGTCTTAGTGGCTTTACAGCCTTACATGGGGTGAACCGTGAAATCGATTTAAAAAAAAATGAATACACACACATGGCCATGCTGCATTTTTATTTTTTACAGTGTTAAAATAAAGACGGTCAAAAACACTAAAGTAATAATATGATCGATAGAGCTTTTTGCTTCTTGTCTGAATCAGTAAAGTTAGAAACCGATCTCTCGCACGCTCTATGTCACATTCCTTCAGGTCGTCGGCAATAGTGATTCTTCCCGACTGTCTTTTTTCTTTAGTCATTTTTTTTTTTTTTTAGTTGCGCTTAGAAGAGAGGAGGGGGAAAAAAAAAGAACACCGGAAGTGACGTCAGTCTTGCTGCAAAGCTCGAACAACATGGCTGGTAAGCACGAACGAAACCCGATCGTGTTAGATTATCACAACACACTTCTTCGTCAGTCAGATGTTAATTTACTCGACCAGCCAAATTGGATAAATGACAACATCATTGGATTCGCCTTTGAGTAATTATTACTTTTTCTGTTTCTTAATTTTTAATAGGTTGACATTTTTTATTCGTGTATATGTACACAACGTCAATTTATTTTACTCACTTCTGTCGTAAGTTTGTTTATTATTGTTGCATTAACAATTAAACATTTGTTATGTGAAGTGACATGTGTTCTCTTTGACCATTTTTGAATAATTGTTTAAAAGTAAATAACTCCATTGTCATACAGAGGCATTTTTTTGTTTATGTTTACAATACATGTAATTTGAGAGGGTAATTTAAATGAAAAATGATTTATTCAAATGAAAAACATGACTTTTTTTTAATTTAAAAAAAGTAACAAATTTGAGGAACCGAGCCCAGAAGATGCAAAAATATAGGAAATACATCTTGAATCGGACCTTATTTTTATCATGTTATATTTCCATTGTGAAATTGGATCTTATTCTGTGTTTGACATAAGGCCACATTTTAGGAGCTCTCAATAAGGACCAAACCGTATTTGATGATAACTTATGAGAGTGTGTTACTGTTTTAGTGTTACTCAACTGTTAGTTAACTGCATCATGTCAGATTCCTACTGCAATATGGAGATGCGTAAATAAAGGTCATATAATAATTTACAATTGAATATTGTATCAAGTTTGAAAAAACAAGTTCGATCAACTTTCAAAGTTGTTTTTGTCAAATTACCAGTTGTATGTCATAAATGATTTTTCCGTATTTTATGCATGAACATTTTTACACGTATTTTGCATGTTTTCATTTCTTCGACCGCTAAAAAAAGTCAACGAGAAATTACAAAAAGAAAAAAAAAAACACTAACACTTTTTTTTCTCAAAGTTTTAAGATTAGGAAAAAACGAACGCGAACCCAACACTAATTATTTGCAAAATTTCTTATAAAATTGGTTTATGAAAAACGTAATATTTTTTCTACTAATAAAATTCACGTTTACGAAAAAATATTATTTTTCTAATCATTTAAAAAAAAAAAAATTCGTTTCGATTCTTCAACTTAAAAAAAACAAAAAAAACTTTTGATTCTTATCTTTCTTACTTTTTTCATTTTTGTTTCTTTTTGCTATTTTTTTTCAGAAAATATTAAATAAGTTGTAAGTTTTCTTTTTTCTTTTGAAAATTTGTAAGCATTTAAAAATAAAATCCTATGGAAATATCACAGTGGTAGAGCACTGAATACACTACATGTTAGTTACTAACATGAAAAAAATACTAACAGTATTTTTTTCCGAAATCAAAACAAAAACTATTTTATACCGACCCTCCGTTTTTAAAAATTTTTAATTACTTATTCAGTATTCATTAATCAATGAATTTGTATACTGAAAACGAAAAGCTTATTTTGAAAACTTTGTGAAAATACTGGGGAGTGGGGGCAGTTTCACCCCCCTTTTTTCGATATCTCTCGTATGTATATACTTTTGGGGATGTTCGAAATATTTCTTACAGTTACAACTGTTATTTAAAAAAAAATTCTTGAAGATTTCACTTTCACTATAAAAAAATGCAATATCAAGTGTGTGACCATACTGAGTGAAAATTCATCTAGCTCTAAAGTCTAACCCTACCAAAAATATTTTTTGAGAGTTGTTGCTTCAGCTTACTTACATAATAAAAAAAAAAAAAAAAAACATTATTTTTCTTAGATTGGACAGAAAAATCTACGCTGAATAAAATGAATATTATATTTATTTTAAAAATACTTGTAATTTTCCAGTGAGATTTTGAAATTCAACCCGTTGCTGTTCGTAGTTCTCTGTCTATTTATTAAAGACATGTTCGAAGAATCGAAATATATATAAAAAAAAAGTTTAAATGCCATTTTCGAATGAGCCTTTTAAAAGAATTTAAAGTTTTCAATTCATTTTTATTTTCTAGCAACTGTTAGATTATTTTTTGTACGGAAGTTCAAAAAAGAAATAATTCTGAATGACCTTTGTTGAGTAGGACCTAAACTCAACCCAGACCTCGTACACACGATCTATCGCTACTGAAAAATGATCGGTTCCCTGTACCCCTCCAGTAAGTATCTGACTCCTCCTGCTATCTTCTACCTTTACAAGAGCCAGGTGAGGCCTAAAATGGAGTACTGCTGCCATATAGGCAGGGGCTGCCCAGTCTTCACTTTCCAGTCTTGATAGTATTATGGGCGCGTGTTCTTTAGTGCATATATCTTTTGTATTATTAATGATTCAAGAAAACAATGAAACTCCAAATGTAAATCAAAAAGTATATATTGAAATAACATACAAGAACAAAATATACAATAATATTGTGTGCAATGTATAGATTAAGGGGAAAAGAAGTTGCTTCCCTTCTACTGTATTTTGATTTGTAATTGATTGTTCGAAAGAAAGTTCTCTTTAGAGAGAACTGTTCAGGAATCAATTTTAGAACAAGTCTGCTGTTAGAATAGATAACACAAGAATACAATTGATCAGAAAGTGTGTTGTGTTAGAGAAATCGACAGTCCTGGTTGATTGAACTTGGCTGAGTCACAGAGAGATATGTATATATGTATTACAAAATTATGTGTCTATATTTGAAATATTGTGAGTAAAGTCTTAGGTTTGTGCTGACAGGTGAAATTTAGTGGACTCTACTGGCGGCTTATGAAAAAGTCGCCTCTTATGAAGCTACAGGTAGGCTCCCAGCGAAACTGCAGGAAAAGTTGATTTTGCACTAAAGTATGTAATTGGTTAAAATTTGACCAATAGATAAATTTGTACTAACAAAACAAGTAAGCAAGTTCAAAACTGAAAAATTCAAAGCAACAACTGCGATGGCTAAATTGTCCCATAGAAAGGCAGTATTGATTTATTAGCCAATCGCAGACAAATAAAATGTGGGCGTAGAAAAACATAGCAGTCACTACAATAGTCCAAAATTGTCTCTGCATCCTTGTGGGTGATGAATTTTTTCCTTTCTCACAGATAAGACGTTGCAAGCCTCTCACTGCTTTATTGCTATTTCCATGGAAAGTGTTCAAATGAATTACATTCCTTAGTTCTACCATTTCTAACCTTCATGTCACACACATTATAGCAAGCCACCCTCATTCCCTTTGTATTTCATTGGTGAGATGTAAGCGTCACATGAACAGCTTCTTCCCATGATTTATTTTTAGAAAACTACCAATTAACAATATGTACCATTTTCTGTTTTCAAAAGTAAATCATTTTCATCAAAAGTTACCGAACATTGCCTGATGGTGGGATAAAATCTATAAGTCTTGAAACATAGAAAATTCCATGTTGCAATGTAAAATATTTTTAAATAAAAATATCATTAAAAATATTATACTCTGCATTGTATTGAGCACTTTTTTTTTTTAAAAAAAGTAAATGCTAAAGAACTGTGGATTCTGAATCTGTTTGTTCTTTCTCTTCATTTGTGTGTATATATATATATATATAATTTCTAAAATATTCTCTTGTATGTCAATAAAAGTAATTCCCAAAGAACACCTATAATGTGATATACCATTGAGGAAGAGCAATGAATATATTAATTGAACCTTGGTTCTAATACAAAAATAATTAAAGGTAATGGTCCTAAAAAATATGGAATAAATGGAAAGAACTTTAGAAAACAATCACTATTTCCATTTGGGCAATTGTCCTCATCTTTGCTGTTACCACAACATTTTAGTCATTGTGTTCTCATACAAACAATTACTTTTTTTTTGTCTTTTCTTCTTTTTATATATTATTTGGTAATTATCTTTTGTTTTGTTCTCTTAAACCCACCCACCCATGAAAATGTATTAATTCAGTCATTATTTTTTTTTTTTTTTGCTGAATGTTTTTCAGATAACTGGATTTCTTGTATTAAAATAAACTAGCAGTACCTGTAAAAATTTCATGGTTTTACTATATCAATTTTCTGATGTATCCTAATATTTAACAAATAAATAAGCATATTGCAAGTTCCATGATTACAAAATACATTTGTAAATTCCTCTATTGCATCCTTAAATATTTGAGCTTAACAGCTTTAACCAAATATTGCAATATCATAAGTATGAATGCAGGTATTGTATTTATTTACATGTCAGTATTTAAGTAAGAGGGTACAAATGAAAAGATTTCAAAGTAACAAGTTTTTCCATTTCACTGGAGCAGATATTAAACAAATGAGTGTTATTTTCTTCTTTATCTTCTCTTTTTTTTCTTAACCAAATATCATCTCTGATATGCCATTTACATTTTTCCTAATGGTTAAAATGGAATAATCCATTATTTATGAGCTATTGACAAGGTGTAACACATGTGTTAACTAACAAATAGAATAAAATGATGGTACTGAAATGATACACCTGAATCTTGTTTTAGGTCAATACTGAAGTTTTGTGGCCAGGTTTATACTTTCAAAAGTTATTGTTATCAGAAATAAGGCGGAATGCCAAGGTAGATGGTGAGCTTATCTAACAAGCAGTGTGGATATGGATTAATGTTTTTTGTTATGCAAATAACACTAAGTTTGAAACAAAAAAGATTTAGGTCTTGTTTTTCTGACCTTTACAAAATCTTTTCAGCCCTTTCCAGAATTGAGACAGTAACAATAAGAGTCTCAACAGGTAGAAGCCTGCCATTTGTCCATGCTTTGAATATTTCTGCCACATCTGGTTTTCGTGCTACTGCTATATAGTTAGAAATTCTTCATAAAATATAAAGAATCTGCAATGTTATTGGTCCTGACTTGGCATCTCGGCACTTTCCATTGCCATAACATAGCTTCCCTGTGCCTTTTCTATAAATACTTTCATGGTAATTGTTTTGATGAATTTTCCTCTGTGGTATTGAGACTTTATGAATTTAAGTACTAGATTGGTGTTTAGGTCTCATCATTTTACAGTTAAAATGGCTAGATGTAACTGTAAGTTCTATGCACTTCTTGTTTGTGAAATTCTTCTGACTTCTTGCTTCACAGTCAGCTTTAATTTTCATAGACTTAAATGCAATGTCAGTTGTTATCTTGTCTTCTTAATTCT